ATTCGAGCCAAGATGCTGGAGTTCATGAATCCGAAGGTCCTATCGAGCGTGCACTACAGCGACTATTTCAAAGGTACAGATGCAGCACTCGCAGCATTAATGCGCCGCGAAGAGCCAAATCTGTTGAATCAGCTATCGGTAAGCCGATATAAAAATATATATTATATACTTGTCCATCGCTCGGCTTGCCTTCGGCCAGACCATCATCTTTCTGCAGGTGCGTCAGCGCAGTGGCTTCGATATATCGGGCTACATTGACTATCAGAAAAGTCTGCACGACTGTACCTTCCGGAAGCCCGATCATACCAATTGGCGAGCCGTGTTCGAGGGCCGTGAGCTGCTCAAGCCGAAGCCCACCGATTTGAGCTACTACGATTGGCACAAGGGCATCGTTAATATAACGAACTCTGATAATTTCGAGTCCATCAAGGGCAGAGATTCACTAATATTCAAGCATAAAGGCGACCACAAGCTAATACCGGTCTGTGCGAAGCCCGCCCAATATGGTGAGAACGTAAATCGTGTCATGATACTGTCGGAATTATATGGTTTTATAATCTTATACGATCATGTTATACGTTGAAACTCCAATCGCAATAATTAGAAAAATAATACATAAATTAATAAAAAATATTAAATTAAAAACAAACATTAATATGATGAATACTTTTATTTTAATGCAAATATATTATTCATTTACTATAGCGTGGGTCTACAGAGCATCTAGCAGACGTTCAAGCTGAATTAAGCATTTCCTTTTTGTTTTCATCCTTTATCTTATGCAAATAATGCATGCTGCATGCTCAAAAGACGAAGGACGAAAGGCGAAAAAAAATATTCTTACCCTTAGCTTATGGCTGCCTGGATAGGCAGGTGTGTGTAAACGAGTGTGCGTGTGTAACACACGTGATAGTGCTCGAAATTTGGTCACGAAATGGCAAAAATGTTTTTGGCATTAAAGTAGTGCCATGCAGGACAGCCAGACAGCCATCCATTTGAGGCATATCCAAAATTTGGCGACTTCAATTTGATTTTGTGCCAAACGGAATATCTAAAAACAAAAAAAGAATGTGAAAAATACTCGTATATATATTTGTATAAATCAATACTCAGCCCTGTGCAAATATGCTTGTGCGTGCATGCACAATATATATTGTGCAAATAAAATGGCACCAACAAGCACGCACCATATTGTATTTATGTAAATTTATTTCCGTTACATTTCCGCCATTCAATTGAAAATCGTCGTGTGATTTTCTTTCTTTACCCTTGCGCATATTTGTACACCCCCCGCCCCCCGCCCACCCACTGACTCTCAACAAACAAAAAAGAGTCGGCCCAAAAATCACAGCCGGCTGTGAAACATTCGCGAAACAACAAAAAACACGTAAGAGCCCCAGTGCTCTACTCGGATACACCCGACTAGAAGATACCCTACATACAGACGCATGAGCTGAGATTCTTTATATAGTTCTCTAGCGCAATTTGAAGAATGTCTATGTATTAACTGGCCTGCCACGCCTCCTTTTCGCGTTACATACACTTCAACAAAACCACGCTACCTTGATTTCGCATTTTCAGCCAGTTCAGGGTACCAAAAAAAACACCAAGGCAGAGGAGAAACATTTAAGGGGAGAAAAGACTTGCGCAAAAAACTACAAATATGCAGCATTCATTTATAATATATTCGTTTGGCTCGTTGGGCCCGCTGCGAAGGCAATGCCGTGAGGCTGTTTGGTCTGCATGTAAATTGTGGCAAGTCCAGCCGAATGTTCCCCAATGTTGCCCAACTGTAACTGCGAATTATTGTTTCAATTTATGAAACTGCTCTACAGACATGAGCGACAAATAATTTCAGACTTTACGAATGCATACGTTAAAGTTTTTCCATTCAAGCGAAAAGCAAACCAAAAATTATTTGATCAAATTTAATTTTGAAAATTTGGTTTGAGAATTTCGTAGAATATAGAAAATAAGTTTTGTTTTACTGACTTAATTTACCACTAAAGAATTTTTAACTAATTACATTTTAAAATCGAAAAAAAAAAATACAATTAAATTTTAAAATTTAACACTTGATTTTAAAAATTAAATTGAATGTGTTGTCTCAATTTATCTGTATGATAAAGTGTAAACATAGTGATGATTACACTTAGCGCTAAAAACTAATTAATTTATATATAATATTGATTGAGGTTAAAAAAAAAAATAAATAAATAAAAATTTTACCAAAAGATAGAAAAATTTGTACATTCCTAAATTCTTTGCTTCATCAACAAATATATATCTGTATTTTGTATTTTGAAACATTTGCTTTGAATAAATTGAATAGAGCAAAATAATGAAGTAAAATGTCATTAATAAAATTTTAATCTGTATTAATTTTTTTTTTTCATTTATTTTTTTTAGTTTTTCCAAAATGTTTAAAAACCAATTACAATTTAAAATCAAATTTGCAAAATATTTATATCACAATTAATATATTTATATATATCATTTATATCTTTAATATAATTCTTAAATTTATTTTGATAATATTTTTAGCCCAACTTTACCCACCTACGATGCAGAAACCAAGAATTCCTTACACAACTCAATGTTTTTTGTTTATCAGCCGAAACAAATAATTGACACAGCTGCCAGAAGGTAGCATGTAAGGTACTTTCTATTACACCAGATACTATTAAATTGGTACATTACTAAATTCTGTGTAAACATGAAAATTGGGCCACTGTTGAGAGCTGTGTGGAAGTAAAATGAAATTCCTATTGAATTTGTATGCAGCTTTCTTTGGTTAAATGAAAAGGGGCGGGACGAAGGCAGAGGTAGAGGTAGAGGTAGAGGCAGAGGTAGAGGCAGAGCGATATGTTTACAGAGTCTATCTAAACGTATTCAATTCATTTGCCTATTGTCATATCTGAATTGTTTAGCTGGAGCTGCTTTGTTGTTGCTCAAAAAGGCAAACATTGAAGGGAGCTTATTGTTTCTCAAACAGACGCATACATAGGCACTCGCACACATACACACACGCACACTCGCTTCTTGTCTATTCATCAGAGCAAAATGAGCGATAAGAGCATACGTGTAGCTGATGGATAGGAAATTACAAAATTTCTCGAATGCACATTGTGCGCTTAATTAAGCGGCCTTGTCACAGGCGCAGGCACTGTCACTGCTACAAGCGAGTCACGAGTCACGAGTCACGAGTAACGAACAGCGAACTCTCATTAATATTGTGATTATTTTTGGCAGCAACACTGAGCGCCGTCACTTCGACTCGACGAGGGCAATAACAATGGCAAATGCTCATCAATGCGGTTGGCTGCCCATCCAAAATGTGCACATGGCGGCATCGTTTCTGTTCTGATGTCTCCCAGCTGCATAGCTAGCTGAATGCCTGCCTGCCTGCCTGCCTGCTGCTCAACACATGGATTTAATTTCCTGCCCCACCCACCAGAACGCCCACAAACTATTTGAGGTTTAATGCGTATGCGGGCCAGATAAACTCATTTTACTCATTTCCCCATTTCTGGTTAGGCGTTACACTACAAAAACTTTAGTGTTGATAAACTTGCCAAAGATTCTGTGCGTTGCACCAAGTGTTGCCCAATAAACCCGAAATTGCTGCAGCTTGACGGCGGCCACAGAAAGTTGCGCCCAACTGCGTTTACACACTGGCTAAGAAGTTTTGCTCGAGTGTAGCCGGCATAAGTTGAGACAACGCTGACAGGACAGACGGACAGACGGGCAGAATGTCAGGCATTCAGAGTATAAGAGATTTTCATCCTGCAGGCCAGAAACATTGGCACATTCATCATTTTTGTAGCCCAGCAGCAACAGCAGCAGCAGCAGCAGCATCTGCTGTTGCAGGCAGCCGCGGCAAGTTCTTGTCACATGTCACGTCGCCCGCCTCGGTTGTTGGCCAGGCCAAGAGCACAGCCAGAGCTGGCTCCTGCTTCAACTGTAGCTGACGAGTAGCAGGCCTCTGGCATTCACGCCACTGCCATTTTTCGCATTCTGTTGCAAAACTTCGCTCCAAAGTCCAAAGAATTTTCGCCATGCGCCACTGTATTAAACTGACGCTTTAAACTTTCGTCCATTTCGGCGCTTCAATGTAGCTCACAGTTAATGTGTTGAATAAATGCAAAAGTTGAGGTTGGAGCATTGGAAGACAATGCTAAAGTTAAACAAGTAAGAAAGCTCTAGTCGAGACTGCTCGACTACGAGATCCCCTGAACCCTACAA